GCGTGCCTCTGCGAAGCAGAGGTGACGCACTGGTAAATGAATAAGCTCAAAGATGTCGAAAATTTGATAGTCATTATGAAAGGCGATTTATGACACCTCTATATACATTGAACACCGAGTTTGGACTTTTTACCTACAGACCACCCACGTCGATTGGCGGGGCCACCTAGGCTGCTTCTACCTTCTGGAGCGTTTTTCTTGCTTCAGAGCTCGCCTTTCAGTGGAACTTGAGCGACTACTTACTTACTTTAGCGACTACTGACAGACTCAGCGGATTTGACGGTTAGGCGATCGCTCGCGTCAATGCAGTCTGCGTCTCTCTTGCGAGCGTGCTCTCTGATCATTCCCTAACCATTAAACCCCGAAACCTCGCCTTCCAGCCGCCAATCCCGTTGAATCACAGGGTGGTTAGGGGTACCGCTACTATACAATGTCAAAACATCATTTACCTCCGTCTGAGTGGATGGTGCCTTTAAAATATAAGGCAAGACAGTTGGATGGCTAGTTTCACAAAACTATTTTAGGCAAGCCGGGCTCTTGTCCACAAAGCACACCTTTGACGATGTGCTAGCATCTCCAGCCCTTCGAACTTTAGCAAAACAGAATATCCACGACTATCTAGCTAATCAACATACTACTCGAGCCGAAACCGATACAGCAAACCGCTTGCTTCAGGTGAGTAAACACTCACATTTTTCTCAGAGTTACGTTACCCTTTAGGTTCTCTACGATTCTCCCGATGTGAACTCCTCGGTGCTGCAAATTATGCTAGCATCAGGAAGTGAGAATGGCACTTTGGCTGATATGCTTTCACGCTATGGACATGGTCAAAGTCTGCTAATGCAAGGTGGACTACACCGACTGACAAGGTTTGGGAAAAATGATTTTGCAAGTATTATATCGGTTACTTACTTACACAGCTGTAAACTCTGTGTTAAACATAATGCTACTTTCAGTGCTCTAGCTGATTGGGTGGACATCGGATTTAATCAGACAGTTACTGCTATAGAAGAGAGTAAGAATTCCTACAATTTCCTTTCTTGATTTAGCTCCAGTGTAGTTTGAAAAAAAGGCACTTAGCTGACGACTTGTGCTTTTTTGAGAATTATATGTCGGATGAAAGTGCTGTTCGCTCTACCAAATCATCATGTTTAGGTGAATCTCACGCAATTGTCAAGACCAAAGCTTCGTTCTATAGAGCGAGACAGGTTATTGTCACAATTCCACCAGTTCTTACAACCTCTATCGAATTCACTCCACCGCTGGAGAGCGATTTTGCTCAATTTACAAGTACGGACTTTTTGTTTGCCTTGCACTACTTATTCTCAATAGAAAGGTTCTAGAAGACTACGCTCCAGCTGGAAAGGCATATTACTTCACCATCACGTACTCAAGCCCATTTTGGAGATCGAGTGGGAAGAATGGACAGGTAAACACAAGCGGTTGGGTTTGTAGTGTATCTTGTGTATCTTATACAGTGGTGGACAAAATTACAGGCCCACTCTAAAAAATGCCACAGCTGGCTCCGTTGACAATGAAACGTTCCAATTTGGTACAGCCGTGTGTTTACCACACTTTACCGGTCATTAAAACGGGTCTCGTTTTCGTTTGGTTATTCAAGAAAAAAATCAAAAATTTTGGAAAAAAAAACAGGCTTGAAGGCTGGTCAAAATTATAGGTTCACCTTAAGTTTTTACTTATTGAAGCACTTCCTAGCTCTCGAATTTTTAAGGTACATACACCTTCAAAAGTATCAAACAATTCTTAAGTGAAGCTGCGTCGTACCTTCGAAAAATCAAGTTATCTGCTTTTTTGCCTTGAAAATGCTTGCATACGTATTTCGCTCCAGAAACCTGTGCTGAGTAGGAAACTCCGCAGTTTCTACCGGAGACGACGGATTTTCGTCTACCTTCTAGATGCTTTCTGACGTAAGCATTATTTATTTGTTTTACATACACTCGATAGGTGTGCCAACAACAAAATAAAACAAGAAAATAAAACACTGAACGAACATTACTATTAGGCCGTCTGTAATATGAATGTGGGGTAGAATGAAATCAAACAATGAAGCAC